TCACTGGACCAACTTCTGTTGGTGAAACAAACAAGCTTTCGAGTTGCACAGAGCTCTTCAGGTCTGGGAAAGGTACTCAAGGTGGAACAGATTGTTTAGCATAAGAAATTAACACATATTCCAAGGGATTATTCAAGGTGAAGTGGCTCATTAACACCTCCGCAGTCACAGGACAAAAGTGCGGGTTTAGTGGGTTACAGATTGTGGTAATAAGCCATAAATCCAGTGTCTTTATTAAGATCATGACTTTTAGTGTCTAGCAAAATTATGAATTTAAGCTCTGTTAAAGGTGTTGTGCAGGTTTCCTTTGAAGACGAGGACTGAGAGGTCATATAGGTAGTGATCATTCTGTGAAAAGTGTTTCCCCAGGGGTGATATGGTGTTTGTGTCTTTTTCTGGGTGAGTTCATTCAGGAGCATAGTGATGGTCTCATTTTACACACACAGTTGTTATTGGGGGCGTTTAGTGCACTAGATAAGGTATACTGCATGTGTTGGCCCCATAGATCTTAAAAGGTGCGCTGTGGGAGGTATAGATCATTGTAGCAGTGGAGATATGGCTGCAGATTTTGCATCTGTTATAGGAGGGTCTGGTGCGGCTTTGAGTTGATAGGCCCTAGTCTGTGGGGAGCTTGAAACCATTAATGACAATTATTTTAAAGGGGAAAAAAAGCAAAAATTTTCTGTCAGCAAATAACTTTACTACCATCTCATGTGATAGGTTCACTGCCTCCTCTGCATTTAATCCTCTCTCATGTCCTACTCTGCTTTTAAAAAAAATCTTTCAGGCCTTTTTTTTAATTAATTATACAAATCATTAGTATTAAAAAGGTAATGTAATGGTTTCAAGAACAAGCTTCACAGACTATCTGCATATTTAATCATCTCTACTAATAAATTTTTAATCATTCATTGAGTTCAGGTTCTTGTCTTGAAGCTTAACTTGATAACAAACCTAGCAACTGGTAGAACTAATTGGTACAGAACAAGTGAATAATTTATAAGAGGAAAAAGCACTGGGTGTTCTGAAGGTGCGTGGAGACCGCCAGTCACAGATATTTCCAGGAGGCAATAAGCAAATAACAGCAGATGGTAGGAATTCCATGATACACTGCTGACATCCAGAGGCCAACTTTCAATATTGTTCACATTTCTTTCGGTTGGACTATAAAGCCAACTATAAAGCCAGATTCATTACATTTTAAATATTCATACATTTCATTAAAGTTAACATTAATTGGGCTACCATACACATTGATTATGCATAGACCATCAAGTGTTTAACCTCCGAAAGCTTGCAAGCGTCAAATAACACAGTGTGTCCCATCTCGGATGACTTCAGTGAAATCTTCAGCTATGGCCTGAATTAGGAAAAATTACATTCCAATGCTATATGATAATTTAAAATATCAGAGAAGTAATAAAAAAATTAAATTGTATTAACTGAATGGGAGAATTGGTTTAAGTTATGTCTTGCTTCCATATGTTTGCAAACAAAATAACTGTAAAACATTTGGAAAACCAATAAAAAGGTAGTAAAATCTCATTGACTGATAGACTACTTAAAGTATAGTGTGGAGGCTTCCAATTACATATTTATAAAAATGTTTAACACTCAAAATATAAATTAAATTAGAGTCAGCTGCTCTTCTTTTGGTGAAAATGACAATTTCAAATTGTATATCATATTAAAAACAAAATGATTGCTCTCTTGAACCAGGAAAGGTAAAGTCAGTTGACAATATTTAATAAAAAAAGAAATCTACAAAATAGATTTTTCTTCCCTCAGAGAAAACTGAATACTACAATCCCAAAACTAGAATGCCTATACCACTGGCAACTTTTGACAGAAGACTGAATTCTTCCTGAAAGAACCAAATTTTAGCCAATTATATAGCTAAAGCTGTAGTATTTATTAGGTTAGCCATGACTCAAAGCACTTCAGATCATACTTAACTTTAAGCATGTGCTTTAAGTCAATTTGACTTGAGCACATAAAATGCTTTGTTGAATTGAGGACTTGCCTGTTACATACAAAAAATTTACAATCTTAATAAAACCTTGGAGTTTTTTACTTTACATTAAGAGTTAGGAAGTGGCAGATGTGTCATGTAAACTGAATTCTGCTCTTTGAACATATGTATTTGATAGTCCTTAAAATTGTATAATCAATTTTCTTTCCCCACAGATCCCCTCCCTCAGGGCACAGGATAAAACATTCTCAAAGAATGAGGTAGCTGTTTAATACTTTTTTATTCTCATCATACAGTGTGTGTCACTATGCCTTATTTACTGTTCACCATCCAAATTCTGCACTGAATACTGAATTCTCTTTTCAAGAGGTTTTCTGTAACTGTCAATGCTGTAGCATCAAAGTGTCTCTCAAACTTTAATGAGTGCATGTTCATTTGAGATAAACATTCCTATCATCCCCATTTTACAGAGTGCAAACGGAGGCACAGAGACTACAGCCAAAATTTGAAGTGTGCGCATTAATTATGGTTCCTCAACAATTGGGCACCCAACTTGAAACGTCTTGGAACAATTTTTGAAAATATTTAATATTGTTAATGTACAGGAGTTTTGCCATTGTCTTCAGAGTGTCTCAAATTTCACCCTTTATACATTCCATGCATTGTGCAGACACTAACTAATCCTCACAACATGAGGTAGGTGAGAAAGTATCTTCCCTATTTTGCAGATGAGGAAGCTGTCAGAGAGTCCCAAAGTCACATAGAAATTAAATGGTGGAGCCAGCATTGGAACTCATGATCTCTGGATTGCTTTCTCAACTTGGGCACCAAGAAAATGAGAAATACATAATTAGGGGGCCACCTGGCAAATTTTTGGTTTAAGTGACAGCATCACATTGAAAGTTTGTGGTAGAGGCAAGGATAGAAGTAAGTTATCCTGGGTGAGATTCATGTGTCTTATTCATTATGTGGCTTCCAACTTTTACTGCAAATGAGGCACAGTCTACCCTGTGTAACCTTAATGAGTGGCTAACAGAGAGCTTGATAAACAAGTCTGTACAATTTTGCCTGTTTAAGACTTTTTTAGAATGCCCATAGTTTACATGTTAACCTCTCCTTGAAGTTGCTTTTTTGGGTACTTCTACCACTATAATTTGATCAAAAAACTTTGTAAAAAGTGTTTTGAAATACCAACTTTGATTTTTATTACTTGTAATGTTTGGGTTTTATCAATGCTCTCAAACACTACACAAATAAAAGAAAATGTGCATATTTGAAAATAAGATTTTACATTCTCAGATGAATTTCAGCATAATTTTCTGCTTTAGACTATTTTGTCAGAAGGGTTGTTAAAGTAAAAAAAAAAAAACAAAAAAACCCAAACATTTTTGTCTTGAATACTGCCCAGGTGAAAAGCATTAAAAATGTTCAAACAGTATGTCAGCTCACTGTACTATATTTTTCCCTTAAATTAACATTTGTGAAAAGTTCTGGATTGGAGAGCCATGGAGTCCTCTGTCCATAGGATAGATAAAGCAAAGTTGGTAGTTCAAACTTCTGAACTTACATTTCTCATCCCTGACCTAGAGGGACCCAAGGTGAAAGGATTCAGTCTCCACTTTCATTCAGGGGTTAACTTTTCTACTGAGAAAGCTGATGACTTGACTGCCAGAATGGCAATTATGGTATTTTTGAAAATGACACTTTCCCGCTATGAAATGGACCAAAGTAAACAACTTGTTTTAGGTGTCAGATGACAACTTGTGGTCATTATTTGTCTCAGATAGTGATGTGGAGGATGTTTCTCTCTTTCTCACATTTGCCTGGAGCCGTGCAATGCCCACAAGTAAACCTATATACATGGTTAAACTGGGGTTCAATAAATTTCATTAAATAATGCAACAGGAGCTTGGGAGCATTTTTAATTAAAATTATTCTTAGAATAAAATTTGAGTTTAGTTTCAGGTTTAATTTAAAAGTTGAATGTATTTGGGATGCAAAAACCTTAAAATTTAGTATTATTTGAATGAGATGATGGGCAACACAAGTTGCATCTTCAATGCACGTTCTGGAATGTTGCTTCTCCTAGGCCTAGGCTCTAGTAGAAAATTATGCCAGCTTAACTACATGACTCAGGAATGTGAAAAATCAATTCCCCCGAGTGGTGTAGTTAGCTGACCTAACCCCCACTATAGACAACATTAGGTTGATGGAAGAGTTCTTCCTTTGACGGGAACAGGAACTACCTGTCTCAATGGGGAACCCCTCCTGTTGGCGTAGTTAGTGTCTACACTGAAGTGCTACAGTGGTGCAGCAGTGGTACTACACTGAGGTATTTCAAGTGTAGACAAGCCCTCGGGCTCTACTGTCATTTTGAAAAACATTCAAGAGGGAAGGGGCTCTGGTGTGTGGCACAGATTGGGGAGGGGTATTTGTTTGTTTGTTAGTTTTTATGGAAATACTAGAAGCTGAGTGGCTATTTAAAGGGTTTTTGGAAATGGGGTGGTCACTAATATTGCAAATTTGAACTAATTGCTTTCCAATTGGTCAATAGTGCAATCTTATCAGCAATCAGACTGTTAATATTGTAGGCAATCGTTTGGGGAGGGGTTTTTTTTTTTTTTTTTGTAACCACACACAGACAGACAACCACAATCCAGTTTAACTCTTATCTTGGGAGGGGATAGCATTCCACATACCCTTACTTCCAAAATATAACACTAAAATCAGGGCCCTCTTAAGTGCCTATGGATAAATAAAAGATTGCACATGTACACATGCACATTATGTGCACTACAAAATACATATATGCATGCTCATATGCATATATGTTCCAAATATGTATAATAAAATGTGGTTCAAGTCACTACTTAAGAGAAAACCTATAAAGGTTTACAGCAGCAATAGTACAATTCATAACACAACTGATCCAGAATTAGTCAAGATATTAGAAGTAATTTTAATGGGTTAATTCAGAATATTTTCACTTTTGAATGGAATAAGCCACAAAATAGCATTTAAAAATATAGTGCAAAATAATTGTTTTATTACAAATTAAGTACAATCCAGCTTCTAGTTTTTTCCACCCAAAGTTGATGTTACACAAAATTTTTATTCCACAGTGTAGAGTATTTCTGAATGCAATTAACTCATTTATTAGTCATCTATTACTAACAAGGAGGCACTCTCCAATTTTATTTTGGTAAATAAAGTTGCATAATATTAAAAATATCTGTTTGCATTTGAAAAAGATTCCAGTGCTGCAACATTACATAATTTCACATGAAATATTTTTTTCTGAAGTTCATTTGACTGTAAAGTTATTTTGCAGTGACAATTAGAATGCAAAGTACTTTCTGTACAGAGCATATAAACTTTTCTTTGCATCTGAAATTCACAACTATTTCAATATAATGACTCTTCCGCCCCCCCCCCCCAGGAATTGCCTTGGAAAAGTGTTCTAGCATCTCCTTTTTTCTATTTGGTGAACCAACTTGGTTTTGGTTAAAGAGCAATTCGGGCACAATAGTGTTTTAACTTGCAAGGTAATACTCCTTTATTGAGCTGGTAGAACTCCACAAGCTGGATGATATCAGTAAATCTGGTGTGACCATCATCCAGTGTATAGAATAGCTTTCCATCATCTTCCAGCTATAAAAGGGAAAAAAAACAAAAACAAAAAATAACAAAACACTATTGAGCTACAGTGTTTGTCAGACATTCAAAATATGTACATTGTTGATCTTTAATGAAATCAGGCTGTGTGACATCTTTGTGTAGATTCATGCTCCTGAGTTATTTATAGTCCGTGGGGAAGGGGAAAAGCTTAGTGTTCATTCATAGCAAATTCAGAAGTGACCAGTAGAAAAAGTAGTGCATTCTCTAACTTCTTGTCAATTTTAGGTAAATGCATAAGGTAAAAGGAAGCAAGGTTGAATATGTATTAGAACATTAGGCCATGAAAATTGCTAACGTCAGCCTATTATTCCTTTGCTTTTATTCAGAAAGAACATCTGATGATATCACATGCAAAGATTTAATTGGAACCATAAAAACCTTGAGCCTTCATAAAACAAGAAATCTGAATTTAGGCATTCTCTCTCTCTCTCTCTCTCTCTCCAAACAAAGAGGTGTCGTATTAGAACTACTTTTTGCCCTACACTCGTTATACTCAATTTTCTGTGTACCTAGTATATTTTGTGTAGCAGTGGGTGGCTGTATATTCATAGTTACTTTCGTGCATTGACGTAGCCTTTGCTGCAGAAGGTGCTTCCAGGCAGGAGCCTTCTACTGTTGGTTACCACGATGGTGGCAGCACAGTAATATGTTCATTGCTGCCAGAGGCAGCAACAGGGGAGCAGGAGGAGAGGGAAAAAGAGAGAGAAAGACTCCTGCTGCTCCAGATAGCCATGTGTATACTAGCACACTAACCACAGGAAAAGAGAGGGGGGGAAATACCCACTATAAGGTTACCTTGGCTAACTTTAAAATCCATACACACACACAAAAAGATTTACAGAGAATATTTCCAATTTTAAACTATTACAAATGAATAGTCCCATAATTTGCATCACCTAATTAATTCTTAAACTAATTCTTTGGCTAATAGAATATCCTCAATCAGCAGAAAAAGGAATCTGAAGCCCTGGTACTAAAACATTTGATACTTAACAGTAATATTGATCAATTAATGAAAGAAGGCAATTTATCGACAGTGGATAGTAGTGCACAAAAGAAGACCCTAAAATGGCGATCACATTGCAGCAGCAGTTACTGCAGCACAGAGGAAAGATGTAACCATCCTTCTGGGATGGATAAAATTAGTTCTCTTACCTGTAATTAAGGTTTCTCAGTGTAAGCAGCAGTTGCACTGGCCACAACTACTGGGTTATCCTACCCATTCTAAGTCTGGAGGCAGCTTCTAAGTTCCTTTTTTCAGATTTCACCAGTCCAGGACAAACACTACTAGGTAAGGAAGTGTTAACATATGTCACACTATGGGTCCGATAATGCCTATTTTCCAGCAAGAAATATGAAGATACACGGTCATCCATAGGACTCTACGCATGCATACAACTATCATGCCAACATGATAGACATTGCAGAGCTGAAACATTCAGGAGAGCTGAAACATTTTAATTCCTGATTAACAAATGCAACAATGTTTTTTGTTATTCCCAAACCAATGTTTGCCTTGAACTGAATTGCATAGATATTTCCTCAAGGGAGACACAGCTCTTCAGCAGATTAATGAGGAAACCACAGTGTCCAAGAATCTGACATGTTCAGCATGTTTGCAAGGTTGTTATTCTGAATGATCAAGTTTTATTAGAAGATGATTGTCCGAGAACTAGTGTAATTGTATTCCCATCCTCTCTCAACTTGAATAGCTGAATAGCCATTAGCTTTCTAGACATTAGAAGAGCAGAATATATGGTGATTAATTGATAGTGGTGGCCCAGAGTCAAAGCATAAATTGGGAATGGAACATACAGCAGTGAAGGATTTATTTTTTTAAAGGGACATTCAAACATTTTCATAAATGGTGCATCTCAAAGAGAAATTGTCTCCTACCATTTCCCTTTCCAACTTTCCAATCACACATCCATTTGTGATCGTGCAACATCCCTGCATGAATTGCTAAATAAATTGCTAATATTGGAGAAGCTGGAGAAATGCTGCTCTACATCCGTTAAATACAGGAACTCATTTGATGTGTTCGCTCATATCTGGCAGGCTAGAGGCCTTGTGCAAAAGCAGACATTATTAACAGATCAATTTAAGTTTCACTCATCTAAAACTTAGCAAAAACCTCCAGTCCTTTGGGGATCTGACGAACCTGAAGCAGAATTCCTGACTTTAGTGATCTGTGGGAACTGGGCTGATTGTTTCATTTGTGTAAAAAATGATACAGGTTTTTTTCTCCAGATCCCTGGAAAAAGCTGAGGTGAGGAATTAATTTGGAGTTACAAGTAACCCTTGTCTAGGATTACTAGGCCATACATTTGCCCATGCATGTCATCCTTCCTTCTAAGCAATTAATTAATAGAGATGCTGGAGCCATCAGAATTTGATGGGGAAAATAATTGTTTAAAAAAATAGATGCCAACTCCTTTTCAAATCTATTTTGTGAAAGTGAAGCATGCCATCCTTCAGACAGGTGTAGGATTAAAATCATCATGTGTTTTAGGGAAATGTCTTTTAAAAAAAAAAAAAAAAATACAACAAAGTCTCAGGCCCCTGCTCCATCTACTGAGATCAATATCTTCCTACACAGAAAGCACTCTTGGTGCAGGTATAAGAAGGCGGGATCAATATTTGGAATGGATGAGAATTTTAGAACATTGTCCTTTTGGACCAATTTTCATGAGGCTCGGTTTCTTGTACTCTCTCTTTCTGGCTTGAATTGTTCTGATTTACACTATTTTTTCTAGTGACTGCGGAATAGGATAAACTGCTTTGCCTTTTTTACTTTTCGTTTTAAGAGGACCTTGTTTGGATTGAAGTGATGTAGACAAAGGTTCCTCAATTTCCAAAATGGTATGAATAAATGTGATGAGAACTTCCAGATCATCCTATGGACAAGTTGGCCTGACTCTTGACTGAGAATGCTACCAAGCAGATATTTCCTCTTCCTCCACCAGGGATCCTATTGCACGAGAGAAAGGTTTTAGCAGCCATAAAGGATGAACAATACTTGTATTTTTTGCACAGTGCTTCTGTTTGGCAGAGCAACCTGCAGAGGTATAGGAGAAATTACTGGCTTTTTGAGGAGGGAAGAAGAGGCATGTCTGGGTCAGAGGGAAGGGGAACTTTCTAAAGAGGAACTGAAGTTTCCTGCACCGGAGAAGTTAAAGAACTAGGGGTCTGTTTCCTGGTAGGGGAAAGAGAAGGTAGTCTCTGAAGTTGGCAAGTCAAAGGGGTGCCATCCTGATGGGACTGAACCATTCAGTTTTTGTATGGAATCTAAGAAGCTGTTTCAACTATATTTCATCTGATCTAAGGACAGATAGAAACAACTGGATAACGGAGGTACATCGTCAGTGGCCCTGCCTATAGAGAACACAGGGTGGGTCCAAAGAGGAAAGACACTGGTGCCAAGAGTCATCTCCTTGAACTATTTAGGCCAGAGATACCACCACCCCAGCTGTCTAGGCAGTGCAAAACTGTGGACATTTGTCTCCTGGCACTGACTTTGCTTAATGGTTCACAATGCTTACGGGGTTACGGGCTGGTTTTCAAGCACCTAGATCAGATTTACTGAATCCCTTGAAGTGTTTCAGCTCCATTGTGCAGCAAAGAGGGAGATTTCTAGGATGCTGGCTACAGGAACAGGCTGAAGCATGGAAATACCAAATGGTGGCCCTCTGAAATCTCTCACTGGAGCCACTGAGTGCCAGTGAGTCCAAGGAAAGAGCATTTGGGGAAGCGCCCAGTCCTGCAGAATAGAAGAATCCCCTGAAAAAAACAACAGGGGAAGCGAATTATCAAGTGGCCTGGAGATTGTGAGTAGAAGACAGTCTGGGAGGGATATTCTTTTTGGAAAGAGAAATAGTAGCTGTGGCTCCTAGGTAAATGCAAAGCACTAGGGCTAAAGCAGGCAATGAAAATCTATTTCAACAAAGCAGGATGGAAAGAAAGTGGAAGAACTTTAATACTGCCTCCAGAGTCAGTGGAATGGATGGGATTACCCCACTGTCATGTCAAGAGCATCACATGCTATGTAATTGCTTTCACTGAGAAAGTAATGGAAATATGGCTGTACTTCAGTAAACCCACAGGCGATTTCAAGATTAACCCCAGGTAATTGATCAATTTTAACCAAAAAGTGAATGTACACTGAGGAAGAGTGAGAATATCTATCCACTCTACTGGCCCTTGTATATAGATACACCAAGACAACATGAGGCAGGAAATGGGGCCTCTGAGTCTGGATGGAATCTGGGGGACACTTTAGGATATTAAAAATACTAATATTGTAAAATTGCAATGGGTTATGCTATGTAAGGTATCTGCAAAAATGTTATAATTTGCCACGTATTATAATCTCTTTGATGTGTTTGTATCACCTTTGTATTGTAACTTATATCTATGGTATGTCTGTATTCCAAACTTGTGCTGTGCATCTGGGTGACACCCCCAGACAGCTTGGCATTAGCACTGCCTACCCTGCTTGACAACCCATTCAGGGACATCAGCTATACAATTGACCCATTGAGAGAAGGCAAGGGATACACCTGATGACTCAGCAAGGCATGCAGGGGCATGCTTATGGACAGAACTCTAAGGCTTCCAAGCCACGTGCTAGGCAGCTTGTGTTTGGAACAAAGGAGATCAAGCTGCATGGCAAAAGATGATAAAAGGCAGCTGCACCTTCTGCTTTTTGTCTTCATTCCTGCTTCTTACCTCTGGAAGAACTTTGCAACAAACAAAGCTCTGAACAAAGGACTCAATGACCCATCATTCCATCTGTTACAGAAGGACTTTCAAGGCAGCAAACTCACCAATACTGCTAGGAACCTGATGGACTGTGATGTTTTTGTATGTATGTGACTGCTTTACCATTTAACATCTCTTCTTATTGTTCCTTTTTTCTTTATAATAAACCTTTAGTTTTAGACACTAAAGAATTAGCTGGCAGCATGGTATTTTGGGTAAGATCCAAACTTATACTGACCTGGTAACATGGCTGACCCTTTGGGATCAGGAGAACATTTTATATATGTAAGCAGAGTTTTTTAAATAACTACTCATTGTACTGGACCTAGGTGCTGACTGGGAGCTTCTTGATAATCAGTGTGTGGGATCAGAAGGGTCACAGGGCACTGAATCAAAAAGACTGGGCCCTGAGACATGAAGGAAGCTGCTCTGAACAGAGGGAGTGCCTGTGCACGTGGCTAAGATTTCTAACCTAGGTGGGTCCATCTAACCGAAATTTAAGAAAAAAAGGTGTGGGGTCAGGAAGCTGAGAGGCATTTGAAAATAAAACAGTTTCATCCCATAAGAGGTATTTCTATTTAGTTTGAAAAATAGACTTGTCCTCATCTTAGGACAGCTCACACAAAACCCAAACAATATTGCCAAATCTTATAACAAATTAAACAGCAAGTTCCATAAATTTTTAATTCTATCTATGCAGGGTTGTTGTAACTGTGTTGGTCCCAGGATATTAGAGACACAAGGTGGTGAGATAATAGCTTTTGTTGGACCAAACTTCCATTGGTGAGAGAGAAGTTTTTCTAAGCTTTTCTAGTGTCTAATACTGTAGTACCAATATCTACCATCTTCCATATACCAGAAAAAATATCTTCAAGAGTGTGGCACACTATTATGCCTTTTCAATTATATACAAATTAACAAGTGTTACTTACTGGTACAATTTGAAAGTGCTTTATTTTTAGTCCATGGCTCATTGACAATACAAACGTTTTGGGGTTACTTTGGCTATCCCGTACCAAGAAAACCCTGGGGAGAGAGATTAGGAATTTTCAAAGTAAGCTCATGTTGAATTGTTAGAAATTTTTTGTAGCTTTCCAACAAACACTGTAATGAATTGCAAACACAGTATTAATCAACATCAAAAATAATTCAACCAATTTTGTACCGAAGTTTAATTTCGAGAGTTCTGCTTTAAATCTTTATATGTTTTGAGAAAGTATCAGAATTGGAAATACTAGCTTTAAAATAGTCTATTTCATCAAACATGTCTCATGAAAAAAAATGCATCTACACAATGATAGATACAAAGTATTTAAAGTTAACAGCTGCTGTATGTCAATGTCTAGGTGTAGCTCTTTATCACAGGCATGAAAACATGTTTAAGAGTTTGCACTTTTAGCAAAGTTTTGACCAAGATCTTGATAGCTACCAAAAATCACAAATTATACAGGGATAGAATGCTAAGAATTGGCAGCCTGTGATTTTTCACATTGGAATTGTAAAAAATTATTTATTTTCATCAGAAGAAGCCACAGGCACCAATCACCAGTAGATTGACATATGGAAATTTTACCTTAGAAAGTACTTCAGAGTGAAGGAGAACATTTCAGTTTCTATATTCAATAGTCCACTTGATACATTGCTACTTGTTTCTTTAAATCTTCAAATAGTATGGCTGGAAATTTCAAAGGAGGCTAAGGGAATTAAGCACCTTACTCCCATTAAAATCAATGGAATTTGGGCATCTAATTCCCTTAAGGGCTTTTGAAAATCCCAGTCTATGTGAGTGTTGCTCATATGGCATAAGAGCAAATGCATATAAGATTGCTAACTTTGCAAGCTGTCAGTTCAATGGAAAGTTTATAGGAGATATGGTACAAGACTTTATGCTGGCCAGATTGTTACAACTGGCAAATATATGCATACAACAAACATTAACATCTGTAGAGCAGGAAAATTCCCCATTCAGAATCAAACTCTCAAGTTTACAAGTTACTGGCTGTTTTATTGCAGAGCTCAAGTAAAATATTCTTAACTATCAACAGACCCAGTCTTAGTTGGGCTGTTCTAAGATTTGAAATGCCATTCGAGACCAGTTTTTCTGACAGCCATTGTCCTGGGCACTATTGCAGCTGGGGGGATTTTGCAGCAGTATTGGCAATAGGAACTGCTGTGAAGAAAGGATGGAATAGCACCTGGCATAGCCGTGTCCTCTGCTGCTTCAATTAATACTTACGTTCGAGGCTGGAATATGTACAGAGGAGAATAGCTTAAAGATATAGAACAAAGCAGTTGCTATAGTTGGAGTTGAGACAATCTGGACTGGATGAATTATACAGAACTGAGAGAGGGGTAACCACTCCACATAAAGGGAAATGAAGAAAGAATCCATTGAAGGAGAAATCCACATGGGTAGAGAAAATGAGTGGCTGCCTTTTATAGTCACCAATAGAATGAGAACTAGTCTTCTATCCTCCCCATGCACATGCTGGCAGGGTGTAAGGGTAGTGAGCAACTGGACACCCCCCCCTCCCAAACACACACACAATCAGACAATTACATGCAAAGGAGAGGCTGTTAGGGGAAGGAAAGTTGTTGGGAAAAAGAGGATGATAGGAAGCTTATAGGGCCCTCCATTGACTCATATAGGCCTCCAAACTGCTACACATTTATGTAAATCCCCAATGTATAGGTATGGTTATAATAACCATTAAGGAGGATTTATCTAGGGTTAGCAATTCTGAAGTCCTTGATCATTTTATATTAAAATAAACTAAAATTCACCAGGATGACCTCAGAACTCTCATGCTCAGCTCATTTGGAGACATGTCCATGGGGAGAAAAAAAATACATATATTGGCAACTATGCATATATTATACCAGTAAAAGTAGCTAATTGGGTTTAAATGAGTTTATATAGAGTGATGAATATACTTAGACTTTTCTAAAAAGCTCTCCCACACCATCTAGCGGCCTAAAAATAATCTCTTTGCCCTTTCCAGGGCTGTGCAAAAAAGTTTTCAGGCTACGGTTAGATCCCATGCATAAATCATATGGTATTTTATAATTCAAACATTAACGTTAAGGACGGGCAAACTGGTCTGGAAATCATACAAACAATTTCATTATTTGAGCATGGCACTTTACAGACATTCAAAATAAGGCCCCCATCCTAAACAGCTTACTGTCCAAATTAAACATTATGGGTAATTACATCAGACCACAAGAGAAGAGGCTGGAAAGGAGGATCAGGACTCAGCCAACGCATTCATATTCATAATTTAATTTTAGGGCACATCATAAGGCCCACTCATTTCAGCAGCCTTGTCTCTTTGTTATTGGGCCGCATCCTTTGTTTTGTTAGTTACTTATTTTTTTAAGCTAGTTAAAGCCTTTCCTAACCCTGTTTTCGTGTTAAGTGTGGATTATTTCCTCTTAGATGATGGTGTCCCTCAACCCTAAGCTATCCTTGTGCATGCTTTAGGAGCTTTTAAAACTTACATAATGAACGAACAAACAAAAAGTATCCAGGGATATAGTTTTTGACACACATCTAAAACCCATCATCCTCCCCCATTAAGCCCACCTTATATCTAAAAACCATCAACCCCACTCCCCCCCCCCCAGACCTACACACACACAAACACGTACCTTGGGTGCCAAAGCCCAAATAACCCTGATTTGTAAGAAGTTCCCTGCTTGACCAGATGCATACTGAACTGGGCTCTTCGATGACGATGATGACAATGATATTATCCTTTCCATGCATCAGAAGCCAAGTAGTTTTAAATCCTGGTTGTCAGCAATTTATTAACTAAAAAGCCTTCAAATAGCCACTAAGAGTCAAATATCATAACCATAATCTCGCTGCAGCTTCTGCCACGCTTTAAAGCAAATAACATTGCTTAAAATTTAGTAGATCCAAAATGAAACATCCCAGAGTATATTCATCTCTCTCCACACACACACACACACACACACACACACACACACCCACAATCAGTACAATAA